CACACACACACACATATATATATATATGCAGTGCTTAACAAGTTCGACAGGGCGTCTAATAAATTTGTTCAGCACTGTACATCTGACAGCTGTTTTCTTTAATGACCCGGTTCTTTGTTCATGTTCAGAAGTCTCTCAGAAGCGTCTGAGGTTGGACCGCTACAAAGAAATCATCCGGAGTCTTCCTCGAGTGAACCGGACAACCCTGGCCGCCCTCATCAGTCACTTGTACAGGTGAGCTCCACCCACAGCATCCATAATGGGCGGCTGTCCTCTGAGGTTGGTGGTCCGATGCCCCGCCCACACTGTCCTACACCAATGGCAGCTCTGTCGCCGTATGAATGTGTGTGTGTGTGAATGGGTGAATGAGAAAACATTAAAAAGAGCTCTGACTACCACTAAAGCAGAACAGAGCTACATAAGTGAAGACCATTTACCTGAACATGAGCAGTAACAGCAGAGGTGTAACTTCTCCATCAGGGTCCAGAAGTGTGCTGATCTGAACCAGATGTGCACCAAGAACCTGTCGCTGCTGTTCGCTCCGAGCCTGTTCCAGACCGACGGGAAGGGGGAGCACGAGGTGAAGATTGTGGAAGACCTGATAGACAACTACCTGTACGTCTTCGATGTGAGTGACCTCTGAGAGACACAAAGGCCCTGTTCTCCATCTGATCTGAACAAAGTGCTGATCGCTGTCACGCTGTTTCAGATCGACGAGGAGCATCAGACTCAGATCGAGCTGGAAATCAGCCTCATCACTACCTGGAAGGACACTCAGGTACACAGGCTCCGTCCAACACCTCACTGCTGTCTCAGGTGCTCAGTCTGTAGGGATGTGTGCAGTCAGCTGATCATGTGTTGGTCATAAAGCATCGCGTCGTCATCATTCTGTACTTTCAGCACAGACTTTATGAATATTTTGCACATTTAGCCGTCTGTTGTGAGGACTTCTAGCTTTGGTTGGTACTCTGTGAGTATAGTCATGAATATTTCATACTTTCACCTCATACTCAGTGTTTTTTACATTTAGCTGGTACTCTGTGTGTATTTTGTACCTTTAGCTGGTACTGAATTGGTATTGTGCACTTTGTCAACGTGTCACACATGATGCATAGAGTACGAACGGTAGCTTTTAAAACTTTTTTAAAGACAATCCTTTCAAACTTGCTGGCACATGTTGGGTTTCAAACGTTACTATAAGTTGGTTAAAACTGAGTAAACTCCTAAAAATGACTTTGTAACATATCAACATACTGAGTTTTGGTGTGCAGCTGTCTCAGGCCGGTGATCTGATCATTGAAGTCTACCTGGAGATGAAGATACCAGATTGCTGCATAACGCTCAAAGTAAGTCTGACCTTCACGGCTGCAGATGTGAGAGCTGCGGGTTCAGGTGTGACGGTGTGGCCTCTGACCCCTACAGGTGTCTCCAACCATGTGTGCCGAGGAGCTAACCAATCAGGTTCTCTACATGAGGAATGTCCCGGCCGGAGACAAAGACGTCTGGATGACATTTGAGGCCATCGAGGATGGACAGCTGGGTGAGCGAGCACTACAGCGCCTGTACACCTGTCTCTCTCTCTCTCTGTCTCTGATGCTGCTGCCTGACAGGTGTGTTGTTGCTGTCGCCTCAGAACGTCCGTTACACCCCAAAGAGAAGGTCCTGGAGCAGGCTCTGCAATGGTGCAAGATGGCCGACCCGAGCTCCGCCTACCTGGTAGTGAAGAGAGTTCCTAAAAGAGAAGGCATCACCATCCTCACCTGTAGGTCAACACACCTGAACGAGTTAACATAAGACACGCTGTCCACTGTAGGAACCTGTGGGCTGGTTTAGGGTGGCCTAAATGGATTCTAGAAGGTTCAGTGTTTCTTTTTTAGGAACCATGCGTTCAGAACGTCTTTCAGGAACCACCTCGAGAGAACCTGTTTCTGGAACCGTCCCCATAGAACATCCTTCAGGAATCGTCCTTGTAGAACCTCTTTCAAGGCTTTTTCAGGGAAATAAAGGTCCTCCTCAGCAGTAGGAACAGTCGTGACTCCATAATCCGACACTAAATGTAAAACCTTCTTCTATGTCGGATATCAAGGCTGTTGGATTGTCCAGACGGAGGTCCAGATACGAGGAGGGCTTGATGCTGGAAGGCTCATTAGTTGTTCATTATTGTTCATAGTTGTTATAATAACTAGTGTGTTGTCAGAACACTACGCATCGCTGGACTTCAGCCTCACTGACCGGTGGGATTGTGAACGGCCCATCGGTCGACATCAAAAGCAAAGACGTTTAGGCAGCAGCTGAAGGGACCCAGATCCAAATTTTTTTCCTCCTATGCGACTTGGATCTGGTCTGTTCATGACAGTCTGAACAGCAGTACTTGGCTGCTGATGCTAGTTTAGTTAGCGCTCACACTTCTGTTTCCTCCATCGGTGGCGGCGGGGGAGTGGCAGATACGCTCCACCGTTACCATCCATGTTTACTTCCGTAAACACTGAGCACGCTCGCTGCGTGTGACGTCGTCGTGTCCTCTTGTGCGCATGCGGGACACTTTTGGCTCGTATGAAGTTCACACAGCAGATCACATACAAGTCGCATTGAAGTGGAAACGTGAAGGAAGTCACAAAGAAATCCTCATTGAGCATCAAGTCCTGCAGTGTGAACGTAGCCAATCTGTGGGATTGTTCAGTCAGATAATACGCCGTCATCCTGATTGGCTTCGGGTCATTACGGGTCGGACTATCGAGTCATGACTGTAGTTCTGAGTGACCCCAAAAAACTTCTGTGTGACTCTCAATGCAGACCAGTTAATAAGAATATTAAGTAACCAAAGTGTCAGAAACTGAAAATGAATGCACCAGAATATGAAAACCCAGATGTGAATGCGTATGAATGGACTGTTGAGGTGGTCGGAGGGCAGGAAGGCAGCCAGGCCAGGTCAGTCTGCCCCGGGGCAGCTGAGGCTACAACCAGAGCAACCACCACCGGGATGGATGTGTGTGCATGAATAACCGACAGCGTGAAGCGTCTTTGACTTACTCGCTGAGGTAGAAAACCACTTTATACATCTGATCGATTATTATTATTGTTAATGCACCAAAACAGAAGAGCAGAATACCGACCACCTAAACTTCAGAAAAATGAACATTGATGCAGCTAAATGTCCAAAACATGGATATCAACACAGCACATTATTTTTAAAACACCTGGATATTTACATATCAAAACATGGAAAACATCAATATTAATGCACGACAGTGTGGAACTGGTGAGAGGGTGTTCCTGGAACAGCCACCTGCTGCCCACAGTCACAGTGTTGACCTCCAACCTGTCTGTCTCTGGGTCCATGTGTCTTTCAGCCTATAAGAGTGAGATCATGAAGGTCGGCCTGTTGCGGTGTCGTGAGGAACCTCCGAAGCTCCTCCAGGGAACTCGGTTCCAGGAGAGAACATTCCAGATCCGGGACCACAAACTGCTGCTGCTTAAAGACAAGAAGGTGAGCAAGGTTCCTGTGGGACCGAGTAGAGCCGGTGTTGTCCTCTGGTGCTGACTGTTGTGTGTCGCTGTTCAGAGCATCAAACCAGAGAAGGAGTGGTCTCTGAAGTCCATGAAGATCTACATCGGCATCCGCAGAAAGCTGAAAGCTCCCACCAGGTAACAACAGGCACAGCTTCATACACCTGGTTTGGTTTTTAATCCGTTTGTAGCTGAGCTTATAATGAGTAAGAACCAAACGTGGCAGTGGTGTGCGCTGTAACACAGAATCATATCAGGTGTCTTCAAGCCAGCGTCATCGCGTTGAGCTCCAGAACAACACAAACAGCAACAATTCTGTTAACTGTTCGTGAGCAGAGATGTTACGAGGCTTCAGTCGAGTTAACAACATCTCTGAGAAGGTGAAGAGCTCACAAATGACTCCACAACAATCCAACATCCTGGGAACCTCTTTTAACAAAACCCCCGCAGAAGGTATACCTTTACCAAGAAAGACAAAAATGTCAGCGTTTGAAAAGAGCTTTTTCAGGAAACAACAGATTGGGAAGCGGATGTGGGAATATTCAGCCCCAAACACCAAAAACCTGGATAGTGATGCCCACAATCATCACAAACATGGATAAGAACGCACTAAAACATCAAAACATGTATTTTAACGAACCGAAACTTCAAAAACCTAAATCAGAACGTACCTCAGCTTCTAATGACCAAAATGTCAATAACCTAAATTTTAATACACCTAAACTTAAAAAACACGAATAATAACTCACCAGCATGTCTAAAACCTGAATATTATTGTCCCTAAACTTCTGCAGTCTGGCTATAAATGCACCAAAACACCAAACCGACCCAGATTAAGATGCACGGATTAACACACGACAGCATCAAAACCTGGATGTTAGCTTACCAAAACATCCATCCATCATTTCCACACCTTCATCCTCACCAGGGTCATGGGGGGCGGAGCCTATCCCAGCTGACTCAGGGTGAAGGCAGGTTCACCTGGACAGGTAACCAGTCTATCACAGGGCTACACTTAGAGACAGACAACCAAGCACACTCACATTCACACCTACGGACAATTTACAATCACCAATTAACCTCAGCATGTTTCTGGACTGTGGGAGGAAGCCGGAGAACCCGGAGAGAACCCACGCTGCACGGGGAGAACATGGAGACTCCACGCAGAAAGATCCCGGGTGTCCTCACCGGGACACGAACCGGCGACCTTCTAGCTGTGAGGCGACGGTGCTAACCACTGATCCACCTGTATCAAAACATGAAAAACATTCATATTTAAGCACCAAAACATAAAGAACCTTGACTATGAACACACCAACATGTGAAAGATGGCTCGACAATGATGCTGCTAAGCATTAAAAACCGGGTCAGTGATCGAACAGATGCTGTTGAAACCATCAGAACCATGAGTTGAACCTTCATGTGTCCGTCTGCAGGTGGGGATTCACGGTGATGTCAGAGAAACACCAGCTGTAAGTATCAGCCTGACCTCTGCTCTCAGACCCGCTCCGACCCGTTTCATCACATATTACAGGTTCGGTTGCTCCTCCCCCTCAGGTACCTGTGCTGCAGCGGTGAAGCCGAGCTGTGGGACTGGATCACCAGTTTCCTCAAAGCTCAGGTGAGTCAGAGTTTACCTGCAGATCCAGGGGGCCTGGTTGGTTCTGTCTCACCGATGTGGTTGTTTTCCAGAACGAGGACCCCGGTCCTCCCCTGCTCAGGCGTCACTCCTCCTCCGACATCTCCAAGCAGAAGTTCGGCACCATGCCGCTCGTCCCCATCAGAGGAGACGAGAGCAACAGCAGCATGCTGTCGGCCAATCAGACGCTGGTCAGAACTCACCTGTTGTTTCACAGCCTCAGGGCTTCTGCTGCTCTGTGGAGACACTCAGCTGCTGGTGTCTTCTGTCCTCTCACAACTAAAGTCATTCTAGAAAACAAGCTCTGACGTTTATCTCCTCAGTTCATCAGACTTTATCTTTTCTCTCTGCAGAGGAAACTCCACGACAGGAGGACTCTCTCCATGTACTTTGTGAGTATTTTTTACCTCTGGCTGGTACTTTGTGAGTATTACATTCCTTCACCTGGTACTCTCTCAGTATTTTGTACTTTTAGCTTGTACTTAGTGAATATTTTGAGTATCTGGTTCTTCATTATTCTTCTCTTCTTGTCGCTGCTCCTTTGTAAGTGTTGTGAAGCTTGTGTGTGTTTTGGATCTTTGCCTGGTACTTGGAGAATGTTGTTAAGCTTTAGTTGGTACTTTGTGAGTGTTCTGTAGTCGAGCTGCTCCCTTCCAACCTTCCTAACCCTTTATCCAACCCTCTGAGTGTTTTTGGACACATATAACTGGACAGAGGTTCTTCCAGGACTGACCAGTCCTCTGTGTCTTTATGTCTTCAGCCCATGAAGGTCCAGCCGGACTCGTTCGAGGAGCGTTCAGAGTCTCCTGGCCTCCCTGAGCCGCTCTACGAGGAGGTTGGAGACTTTGGCCTGCAGGTCCTCAAGTCTCTGGAGACCAGCTTCCGGTCCAGCAGCGCTGCAGAGACCCAGGAGGTGCTGGACCACCCGCCGCTCAGACTGGTTACTCTGGACAGCGGCCATCTGGACCACGTGATCGTCCCAGAAGACGAAGTTCGTAGCAGCAGCTCCGAGGAAACTCTGGATCAGAGCGGCATCAGCAGCGAAGGAGGGGCTGCAGGAGAATCAGACGTCCTTCATCAGCCTGCGGTGAGGAGGAGGCAGCAGCCGCAGGGCGTCTGCACACCGTCACAGGAGCTGCTGCTGCAGGAGCTGTCATCGGCCTTCACCAAGAAGACCGAGGAGGAGGAGCAGGAGGAGGAGAGGCCGTATGATGTCTGAGAAACAGGATGGAGGAGGAGGAGGCTGAAGACAGCACAGAGTCTGATGGAGTCAGAGGTCGTCTTTCCTTCAGCGTCCATCCTGGAGCTTGGACAGCATCACATCACAGCATCTGTTCTGGTTCCCTTCAGTCCGTCCTGCAGCCGTCCTGCCATCACCTGATGCAGCATGTGCACAGTTTGGACTTCATTATGATATCGTGTCTCAAAGTTTGAGTGCTGCAGAGGATTGTGGGTCAGAATGAGCAGGAAAACATGCTGGATGGAGCTGATCCGGGTTCTTCTGGCGTCTGACCCACGTGTATGTTGACGGAGCAGCTCTATTCAGACGTATGGTTCAGTGTGCTGATGTGGATACTTCACCGGTCTGCGCCTCACAACAGGAAGCTGATTGAAGTCTCTTCCATGTCAGTTGAGACCAAGAGTCTGGAAGGTTTCTGTGTTCAGCTCTGGTCCGGTTTTCAGCTGAAGGTCCTCAATGTCTTTTCCAGGTGTTTTGACTCAGAAATTACAGAAATCACAAGAAAGACAAACATTTTCTTGATGATCTATTTTACAGAAATGTTGAGAACCTGGACTCAGCACGTCCACAGATGTCACCGACCTGGAGAACGTGGATGCTCCAAACACTATCGATATTCAACTATTTACACTTTTACAGCCTCATCAGACGTTTTCAGTCTAACTGTGTTTTGAAGACAACATGTCTGACCTCCTCTGGTGGGTTTGAACAGCACGTTTCATTCAAAACAAATCACCAACATGACTCCGTTGATCAGCCAGAAACACGATCCTGGACAAGCCCCGAAGAAATGTTGTGGAAAATGAACATCAAATCCGAATCACTCGAGGCGCCACCTGCTACAGATGTTTAACTATATATGTGTGTAGCCTCCACAAACTTTAGAACGACATTATGACAATGTTCCACCATGCTGAATGTGCAAGGCCTGGCAGGTTTATCAGACCCCCGTCTCATGTGTTAAGCACTGGATATAAATATATGTATGTGTATAGAGAGCATCCGGCATCATGAAGCGCTTTAATTCAGCTCCTGACAGTTTACCATTTTGAACAGGAATGAGGAATTTCAACCTTAATTCAAATGCAAAACAACGAGCGTCGACATGCTTGTCTGTTGGCCAGTGCAGAAGCATGAACCAGGATGCTGGTGATCAGCGTTGCTGTTTCAACTGAAGCATAAACCTTGTGTTGGATGGTGCGGTTGCTAAGCACCGTATCTCCAACACCTGGCTCCTCTGGTCACTGTTTGTGAGCTGCACTGACCTCATGGATCCAGGAGGTCTGGTTTTCATTGTGCTCTCCTCTCTGCTCTGTGGAAACACCGCCTGCAGTTCATCTGAAAACTCTGAATTTGTCACTGAAGAAGTTTTTGCAGGATCTGGTTGAAGACATTTTATATGAGTCGTGTAGAATAAAGGTTTTTTGTTTTTTTTTTGTATGAAATATCACAATTTTAAGTTTAGAATTGATCGTTTTTTTCTGAATGAATAGAATAGAAAAATACTTTATTTATCCCAGTCTGGGAAATTACTGAACTGAACTGCACGTTATGTTCAAGGACCATTAGAAAGTAGAAACTCTGATGATTCTTTGTGTTTTTACGGTTTCTGGGTGATAGATGGAGTCCTTTGGGTCACTTGAAGGTTCTGAGCTGTAAGCAGACTTCATGCTCCTGATGTGAAGCTCTCCGGCGTCGCTGCGTGTTGTGCAGATGAACAAACTGGTGTTCTGACGGTAAAGATCCAGCTTGATGTGAAACCTGTACAGATCCGTACGTGCAGACTCGTGTGTTGAATCCGGGATGGTTTCTTTCGCTCGGAGCTGCTCGGTGCCTCCGAGGGATGGATAACACTTCTTTAAATGACCAGCAGGTGGCGGCAAACACTCAGTAAAACAACAAGGACACAACCTGAAGATCAACAGTGCAGCAGGCAGACTTGATCTGTGCGTCCGCCAGTCCTCCCAGTACACAGCGTGACTGGTCCCAGTGTGGCTCCGACGTCTGGCTGCTGTGCTCCTGCTTCGTCTGTATATATTCAGTATGTTATTCGATCCTCCGTGTGTGATGTCGTGTCAAACCAACAGAGCTGCCCTGTGTGTCTCACACGCAGCTGTTTTAACGTTTAACTCTCCAGAATTAAAGTCCCAGACATCAACACTGTCCGACTTTTTGTTCCACATCTCCACAGACCGGTCACACACAGCCAGATGTTATGACAGTTATTAGCTGTTACAGACCTCAGCAACATCCTTCTGACCAGTCTGGACTTCATTTAAGATCTAAAAAGAGTGATGTAGATCTGCTGAACGGAGCAGAATTAAAGATATCTGGATTCATCAGTATGTGTGAAGACGAGCTGAGTGACTGGACTGTAGTTTATACTGTAACACACCACACTGTACACGACTGCATGAGATGATACTTTAGTTTATGCTGACCTTTGCTGCACTATACTGCATTATACTGTACTATTCCATAATTTGTATTCTGTGGTCGTACACTGGAAATCCTAACATACTACACGATACAAAAATACAGTAAAACCTTTCCTCTAATTTATACTATAACTCATTCTGATGTACTATCTTATACTACGCTTTGCTACATTATACAATACTGCATTCTACTATTCTATCATTTATACTATACCACACTGTACCAGTGGTTCTCAAACTGGGGGTCGGGACCCCCATGAGGACCCCAAGATCATTTCAGGGGGTCGCCAGATCATTGTAAAAAATAAATAAATAAATAAAATAAAGCCTACATTTATCAAATAAATGTGTTTCAGGGCTGTCAGAATAAAAAGTGTTCACTTCTTCAGACTTGTTCATATGATGTGATGATGCCATATTATTAGGGTCCGAGCACACCAGTGCAAGGACCCTATTTAAACCGTTGTGATTATTATTAGGGTCCGAGCACCCAAAAGGGTGCGAAGACCCTATTGGAACTGCTCGGATTATTATTATTATTATTATTATTAGGGTCCGAGCACCAAAGGGTGCGAAGACCCTATTGGAACTGCTCGGATTATTATTATTATTCGTGCCAAAAACACGCGTTTTTGAGGCCCTAAACATACTCGAAAACTCACCAAAATTGCCATGTACATCAGACCCGGTGAACAATTTTATAATTTGGAAGAACAATACACACCTCAATAGAAAAATTGCTCCACAGCGCCACCTTCTAAATTGTCAAAAGCACATTTGGC